CCGGGAGGGCCGGCCCCCGGGGACACCGAGCCGGAGGAGCGACCGTAGGTCCTGCCTCCAGTGGTCACTGCTCAGGAAAGAGGGCCCGGTCCTCCCCCACGGGGGCGGAAGCTTCGGAGGAGTCACTCGCAGTGGAAATAGGAGCTCTGCCGGGAGCCGAGGCGCTAGAATAAAGGGGGTGGGGGAGGGGAGGTTTGCTTCTTTGTTTGACTCGCTATTAAGATACTGATGCATTTGTTCCCCTAATTACTTTTAAGATCCTAATATCTTCATTTATCTTTAACAGGACAGTAATGCTACCTTCTTCCAAGTAAAACAAAGTTTGGAGCTAAAAGCTAGCTAGGTCAAGGAAAAATAAAAACTTGGGTCTCATCCAGGTGACAGGCTGAAAACACAAGCCGGCAATGGCCAAACCGTAAGTGATAACAGAACTCTGACCGGAGATGTCAGGTCTTGGTCTTGACCGGCAGTTTTTCGGTGTTTGCAACTCTGGACCAATTGGAGAAAGCCAAATATGCTGTTTAAACCAATCATAGAAGCGGCTCTGCCTCTAGTAAAACCTCCAACTTCCTGTTTTCAATAACCTCCAATCAGCGCATACCTGAAGCTTTTCTCTCTTTTATTCTTTTGTTTTGTCTTTCGTTTTTTTTTCCTTTCCTTTAAAAAAAAAAAAGCCCACTTCCTCTTTTAAATCTACTAAACCTACTTTTGGTCTCTCTTGCTATGGCAAACAGTAAGTATCCTCATTTGGCGGGCCTTGTTAATTTCCATATAGTAATAGAAAGTTGGTAAATTCTGAAAAAGCTAATCATGAGGTTAAAAGGAAAGTTCCTCTATTCCTTTTTCTTTTGTACCGGGGATCGAACTCAGGACCTTGCCCAGGTAAGAAAATTCACCTATTTTTTTATACCAGGAATCGGACTCCAAACCTTGCACTTGTGAGCCAGGTGGCTGAACCACTGAGTTAAATCCCTGGTTTATTTTTTTTCCCCCATTTGTAAAAATGCTGAGTACATCTTCTCATCCAAGCAGATGGCACACGCCTATGATCCCAGCAATTTGGGAAGTTGAGGGATGAAGACTGCAAATTCAAGGCCAGCCTGAACGAATTAGTGAGACCCTATCTCAAAATAAAATAATTTTTAAAAGGTTAGGGAAGTAGCTCAGTGGTAGAGCACTTGCCTACCTACCATGTTCCAGGCCTTGCGTTTTTGGGCAAGATAAGGATGAGGTAGTCAACTCTCTCCTGGATTTTAAAATACCTGCTCATTCCAAGAGAAAATCCTGCACCTTGTATTCATCTTGGAAGATGACAAAACGATATTTTAGTGATAATATAATGTCTGAGGCCTTGTTTGCCCTGCTACCTTCCCAAGAAGCAGGAGAGAGAAGCATGCTTAATAATTTAAAGATGAGGGTTTCTTTCCCTAGACCACTCAAGATATGGGACCAAGCAAAGGAGAGGGACTCACAACCACACATAGTTTATAACTTTCAAAAGGAGCCAGGTTAAGATTATTGCCCCCCCCAAAAAAAGGTAACTAAAGTAAAATATGATAAAATTGCCCTAGAAATCCAATGACTAAAACCTGTAAAGATAATACACAGTACTTTCAAGATAGTCAAGATGGGTGTTTGGCACACTCCTGTAATCCCAGCACTCACTCGGGAGGGTGAGGCAGGAGGATTGCTGTGGGTCCAAGGCCAGCTTGCCATACATTAATGAGTTCAAGGCCAGCATGAAGGACATAATGAGACCCTTAAAAAAAAAAAAAAAAAAAAAAAAAAAATGGCAAAGACCCTCAACATTCATTTATTTCAACCATTTTTAGTTTTTTGTTGAAAAGCATGGATGGTTTAGAACTAAGCTATGAATTCTTGGATCTTTTCTCTTGGGCTCAATTTTAGTGGTCAATAGGCCTACTATCCCAACATATTTTTTCCTTCCTAGTTCAAACAAGGGAGGGTAAGAATCATATAAAATATGACCCTATAGAAATATGGGAGTTACTTGCTAATACATTTGGTATCCTTATATTTATAAAATGTCTACTTTTTCAGGAAAATGTTATAGAATCCAATCTGTTGGCCCTTTAGTTAATATTGACTTTAATAGTTGTGGATGATCTACAGTAAATGTAGTTTATGGAGGGTATGCTATATGCAGGGAGGTCATCTACTAATTGTAGTAGAGTTCCCAAGATGTATTGGCCATTTTTAGTTGTTTTTAGTCAGTCTCATCCCTCCTAACCCCTATCCCACTCCATCCTACTTTCTGAACTTGAATTACAAAGTCATTAGATAAAGTGTTGCCTTGTTGGTGGGTTCTAGAGAAACTACCTCCAGGAGGGTGTATTAGAGCTTTCTGTCATTATTAGAACAAAATACCTTACACCTGCAGCTAAAAGGAGAGGTTTAGCTGGGTGTGGTGGTGCATGCCTGTAATCAGCCTGTAATCCCAGCACTTGGGAGGCTGAGGCAGGAGTTCAAGACTAGCCTGGGCTACATAGTTCCAGATCAGTTTCAAAACAGTGAGACCCTGTCTCAAAAAAAATAAAATAAATAAGTAAAAGGAGAGGTTTATTTTGATTCATGTTTCAGTCCACAGTTGGCTGGTTCTAAGACAGAATGGCGGAGCATAGGTGATCGCAGCATAGTGGATAGGAAGTAGAATCAAGGGAGGAGCTGGGAAAGGAAAATGCCTTTCTGTGCCATGCCCACAGTGACCCACTTCTTCTGTCCAAACTCCACTTAACAGAAGTCAGCTATGCAGCCCCTATAATCCAATCACTCTTTGAAAGCTCCACTTAGGAAGCCATGAGGTTTGGGGACACCTAGATATAAGCCATAACAATCCACCTCTGGTCCCCAAAAGACCAGGCACATCTCTTTATGCAAAATGAATTTAGTCCACCTCTAAGAGTTGCCAATGGTTCCAGCTTTGCTGAAAAGTCCATGTGCAACATCTCTGAGACAGCAATCATTAATTAAGCTGTCAAACCTTGTAAATATCAAAAAGAAGTTAAACTCTTGCAACATTAATGGCACGGGATAAACATTCCCATTCCAAAAGGGAGAAATAGGAAGCTAGAAACCAGTGTGATCAAAACAAGATGGAAACCCAGCAGAGCAAACAATAAATTCTGTAGCTCCATGTCCAGCGCTCAGGATAAGATGTATATTCCAAAGGGCTTGGGCAGCCCCTCCCCTACGTCATTGCTGGTGGATGTAGCCCTCATGTCTTCTCTCTTGGCTTAGCTTTATTCACTACTTGCAGCTTTTTTCACATGTTCCATGTTCTAGGCTTCTCAAAATTCCTGGGGTCTCTGCTTCACTTTCAGCTTCAGTCTCACAGCTTCTTGCATTTCCTTCTTAGGGGCACACTGCCTGGCCATCTGGGCAGAGGCCTCTCTGACCCTACAACTCTTGTATATTGTATGCCTGTAAAACCAGCTCCACATGGATGATGCCAAGGTCTGTTGTCAGCACACACATTAACCACGCTCCCTGGAATTGTGGCAGCAGGAGCTTGTGAGTGTTGGATAGCTGTGTACTGTGAACCATATCCCAAACAACCAATTTTCTAGGCTGTTTTTAGCACAATTTCCAGGGGCTCTTTTCCCAAAGGAAAGTTACTTTTGCAGTTTTGAACCTGTGGAGAATAGGGCCTTCCTGGTTTCTCAAATGCCCTTGTTTTTTGTGCTGTTTCTATATAAAGTACCTGACTTGTTTTTGTTTTTTTGTTGTTTTTGTTTTTTTCTGATACCAGGGGTCGAACTCAGGACCTTGTGCTTACAAGGCAGGCATGGTGCCACTGAGCTAAATCCCATGCTCTCTGGCCTGATTTTGATACTAATCTTTTCAGCAACCAAACTCTGCTCCAACTTTACAAGCCCCAGCTTTACCGGAGCTTCATTTTTGCAAAACTAAAAACTAAAAACATTTAAAATCACTTAACTGTGTTGTTTGCTTTTTTTTTTTTTTTTTTTTTTTTTTTTTTTAAATTAGGGTCTCACTATGTAGTTCACACTGGCCTTGAACTCACTATTTAGCCCAGGCTGGTCTTGAACTCAAAATGATCCTCCTGCCTCAGCTTCCTGAGTGCTGGGATTACAGGCATGCACCACCATGATTGGCTTGCCATTTGCTCTTGATTCCCAATGTACAGCAGGCTAAAAGCCCCTAATAGTACCCATATTACAGCCTGAATGTTGGGCTGCTTTGAAATTTCTTTGGCCAGATTAGTCTGCTGTCCTTTATCTCAGGCACCCAAAAATCACAAGACACGAGCATAACAAACACGGCTTGGAGTTCAACTACCAATCAATAGAATCCTTGTTCTCAACTGAACCCTCTTTTTTTTTTTTTTTTTTTTTTTGACAGGGTCTCGCACTGTAATTTAGATTGGCCTTGAACTTACTGTGTAGCTCAGGCCAGCCTCAAATTCCCAGAAACCCTTCTACCTTATCCTCCACGTCTGGCATCAACTGAAACTTCTTGAACCTGGTCTTTACCATCTACTTTTTTATCAGCATTCTGGTCTTCTGACCTCTGACCAGAATCTCCCATCAAGCTCAGTTTACAGCATTCTAGTGCTGCTTCTCCAGCCGGCATCTCCAAACCTTTCCAAACTCTTGTGAGCCAGTTCCAAAGGGTTCTGAACCACGTGGCCAAGTAGGATTACAGCAGTGACCCCACTTCTCTAGTACCAAAATCTGTCTTAATCAATTTCCTCATCACTGCTCCCTTAGTCCAGCCAGTCAGCTTTCCAAAGCCCTGCCTGTGAAGGCATGAAGCTCTGGTGGGGGGTGGGGGTGGGGGTGAGGCATCTAGATATAAACCATAACAGAAATACTGTAAAAAGTAAAAGGACTTA